ATTTAGCCTTTGTTGATACAGATCATCAATGGGCAGATATTTTCACAAAACCCCTTGCTGAAGATAGGTTTAAGTTTATTCTGAAAAATATCTGTATGGATTTTTGTCCAGAGTAATATTTCTCAGAGTGTCAACTTCTCAGATGCTAAGTGTTTAACACTCTGAAGTATTTCATCTGTTTTGCTTGTTTTATTTTATCTGTGATTTATTTGTGTGAAACTCTGTACTGACCATCTCAGGAGGATCTGAAAGTTGAAAACGTTTCATTTCTTAAGAGTTACAGAATCACATGCAAAGCAAACACGTGTCACTCAGAATCTGAAAAGATGGAGTACACCTACTGACTATGACGTTTAAGGTATTGCTTGAAAATCTCAATCTGTCTTGATTTTCCCCCAAATGTCATATCATAATTAAAAATGATTACTTTTCATTAAATGCAAACGTGCGTATGTGTCCTATGTATGTCTGTTGTGTTTTCCCATGCGTGTTTTATTTTTCTATATAAACCACTCTCTTAACACATTCACACTTTTCACATTCTCAACACATATGCGCTTTTGTCTGTTGTTCTCTCTCTTTTCAAACCCTAAACGAACCCAGAAATCTTCATCATCTTCTTCACCATCAACAATGGCATCCACTTCAAAAGCAGTTACTACCAAAGATTCCACCACTATCATTGAACCAGTACGCACTCTCCTGACTCCTGTTGATTCTCTAGAAGTGTTATGTGAAAGTTTCGTTGGATTTGGAAGACCTTGCTGAAAATGGGTTTGATCTGATTCCTTCAATCAAAGCACAAGGCTGGGGACGGTTACTTTGATAGGCTTATGGGTCCTGTGTATCCAAAGTTAGTGAAGGAGTTTTTGGATCCATGCATTCGCTACTCCAAAGTTCGTTCATTCTTCTGTGCTGGGTAAGAAGATTGTTATCACTGAAAAATCTGATCAGGAAACTTATAGGTTTCAAGGCAACTGATGGCGTAACCTCTCTGTCTTCTGCGCGTGAAGACCTGAAAGATGTTTGTCAAGAAATCTGCACTACTGGGTGAACCTTGTAAGAAGGTTAAGTTTTTGAAACCCACTTACAAGTTATGGGCTAAGATTTTCTTGAACACCATTTTTCACAGACCCTCTTCAAACTCATCTGACTATGTTAATGCTGAACAACTTTACTTCATGTATTGTTTGCATCAAAACATTCAGATTGATCTTCCTTATCTGTTGTTTAATCATCTGGTATCTCACGTCAAGGAGACAAGGGAAACTGCCAGAGATAAAACTGGAAGAGTCAGAGACATGGATCCCTATGGAAGACTGATTTCAGATATTCTGATAGAAAACCAACTTGTGGCGCATCTGCAAGAGGCTGGGTTGACAGAAGATCTGAACTTTATCATTGGCTCTGAAATAAATGGCTTAACTCTGAGAAGAATGAAATTGGTTGAAGATTTATCTGAGAAACCAAGGAAAACTAACTCTGAAGAAGTATAGGGGGAGAAGGATTCCTGTTGAGGACTTTCCTTTATTCACCTCAGATGAACCCAGAGAACTTATTGCTGAGTATGTCGCTTGCTGCATCAGAGATGGTGTTGAGATTCCTGCAAATCTTGTGCAGAAGGAAGGCCAAGTTCTTCCTGATCTAACAAGGGAAAGAAGACGCAAGAGAAAAGCTGATAAAGAAGGTCATCAGAAGAAAAGAAAGCATTCAGATGCTGAGAGAAGAGAAAAGAAAGAAGCTGAAGAAGGTTCAACAAAAATCCTCCTGCAGCAACTTTTGAAGAGATAAGAGATACTCTGAAACAGGTATTTAACACTGATTCTAATCCTGTTCATCATTCTGCTACCCCCACACCATCTGACTCACCCCTCATATTTAAAAGATCTAGACCATCTGAGACTCATACACCACAACCAACAACCATTCAAACACCACAATCGCAAACAAACTCAACAAACAACACCACAACCTCAAAACACCATCCAGAATCTACCATTCCAGAGGATGTTCACCCTGAACATTCTGACCAACCTGAAAATCTCATTAACCCTAATGAGATATTAGATATCACACCCTTAAACCGTTCTATCATTCTATCTTCAACTTCTGAAAAATCTAACCAATCTGATACATCATCTGATGATGAATCTTCTGGTTTCATTAATGAATGTTTGAATGATCTCAAACAACCTCGTACTGAGAGTGTTTGGAAAACAACTTTTTAAATCTCCCACCTCTGAACATCCACCCTCTCCACAAAACTCCCCAACTCAAACTCTCACTCCACAACCCACTGAAATCCAAAACACTCCACAACCAACATCTGAACCACAAACACACCCAACAAACATCTGAACCACAAACCACCCAACAAACATCTGAACCACAAACACAACCAACCATCATCTGAACATCCATCTTCACTCACTTCGACCATCAACCTTCTGACCACAAACATCTGAACAACCATCTCCACAACCTCAACCTTCTAAACAAACACCACAAACACACCAAACCAACCCAGAATCCCTGATGAAGCAGAATTGGGATCAAGTGTTTTATACTATGTTAAAAGATTTTGACAAGGATAATGTCTCAGACTTTGCTGACATTATGGATGTATGCATGACTACTATGGACAAAGAGGCTGCTAATGCTGTTTGGAACGAAATATCTTTACAGACTGAATAGGGAGGCTTTGAAAATCAGGACTCAATGTCTTAGATTATCAAAAGTAAGGTTTGCTGCTTATCAGAAACGGATTAAGAAAAACCCTCCTCCTATTCTTCTTCTAGAAGCTCCTCCACCTCCAGAAATTCCTGCACCCAATGTCACTCAGATTGTTTCAGAATCCACTGCTCCAGAATCTTCTATCTCGGTAATCTACAGATCTTCAGAAGGATGTCAAGGAACTAAAGGATTTCATGGTTGATCAAAAGAAGACAAATGAAAGGAAATGAAAACTTGGATGGCTAAGCAAGATGAGAATTCAGAGAGGATTACAGCACTGCTAGCAACTCATCGCTTCTCAACAAGCCTCATCTGCCAAACCTTCTTAATGTTTTTGCACAAGTTTTTCATGTTTTGCTTTGTTTTTGATTGTCTTCTGATATGTTTTGTTCTTTTGACTTAATGAAAATGATCTGTTTGCTTATCTGAATATGTGTTTCTTCTGCATCTTTACTGTCTTTTAAAATTCTTTTTGATTATGACAAAAAGGGGGAGAAACAAAATAGAATCTGATTGTTCAAATCTATAAGCAATTATCTGAACTAAGTCAAGTCAGACATGTTACTAACATTCTTTGAATCTAATCAGACTCTGACAAATGTTATCTAACCAGACTCTGACAAATTTCATTGAAGTTTTTCCTGAGATCTATCTTTTCAGAACCTGATCAAAAATAGCTAAATCTGAGTAAACCAGACTCTGTTATCTAAAGACCAGACTCTGATATTTAACCTTGAGTACTATGTTCTAAAAGATAACTCAAGACAGGAAATGGCAAGATAAACAACCAAGTGTTCTGAAGTTGTTCATCTGGCATCAAGCTTTAATATGACATCAAGCTTTGGCATCAAGCTTTAATTATGGCATCAAGCTTTGACTCTAGAAGTCAAACATATGTCAACCAGGATTTGTCAACCAGGTTTCAATCAGGATGATAATCAGGCTCTGAACCCAAAATGCAATCAGGCTCTGAATCTGAAATGTAATCAGGCTCTGAATCTGAAATATACTCAACCAGAAAGGGAAGTATCTAATTCCATTAGAGTATTCATTTCAGGGGGAGATTGTTAATTCTCAAGGGGGAGTAATTTTAATTTATTTTTTGAACAAATTGCTCATGTTTTTGTCATCATCAAAAGGGGGGAGATTGTAAGAGCACAGATTGTGTCTTAGTAATACCTCTATGTTTTGATGATAACATTAATGATAATTTGTATTACAAGAATTATACTCTCTAAATTTGTTCTAAACTGTTTTCTACAGGCACAAAAGATTTTAATCTTAAAGAGCAAATTTGAAGTGAACAATGAATTCTGAATGGCTCAAGAGCGTCTGAAGATTAGAAGAATCTGAAGTTATAAGAGTTCAGTCATCAAGATTCTGAAGATACAACACGCTGCATGTATTATCAAGAATCTGAATGAAAGAAGACTCTGAAGAGACTCTGAGAATGAGAGAAGACTCTGATCTGAGTGAAGACTCTGATCTAAAGAGCATGTTACGCTTCAAGCACACAGACTGCACCAGACTCTGATTCATCAACATCTGAAGAACATCTTAGGCTCTGAAGTTTCCAGAAGGTTCTGAAGACTAAAGAATCTGATGTTGATTGTTGA